ATCCTGGGAGAACCTCAGCTGTCCCAATCCCGTAGGGCTCTCCACCTCTGTCCCTGCCCCTCCTGGATCCCTTGTAGGTCCTCAGTCCCCCTGGGGACCTACGTGGTGCCCCAGATCCCTTTGGGATCTACTGCCCTGATCCATGGGAAGAGCTGTGTGTGGATTTGGAATCACTTGGGACCTCTTTGATCCTGGGGAAGATGTTTCGCTCCTCCATTGCACATCCCACCCCTTGATCCTTGGCTGCTGGGTGGGAATCCCCACTTCACTGATCCCAAATCCTGTGGGATCCGGTAGGTCCTCCTTCCCCTTGGGGACCTACACTGCACCCCAGATCCCTGTGGGATCTACTGCCCTGATCCATGGGGAGAGCTGTGCGTGGATCTAGGATCAGTTGGGACCTCTTTGATCCTTGGGGAGCTGTTTCCCCCCTCCATCGCACACCCCACCCCTTGATCCTTGGCTGCCCTGCGGGAATCCCGCCTTCGCTGATCCCAAATCCTGTGGGATCCACTGCTCCTCACCCCATGGCTGCCCATCCCCTTCATCCCAGACACCGGGGGAGCTCCCCCTTTGGGATCTACTGCCCTGATCCATAGGGAGAGCCTGATCCCAGATGCTGGGGGAACTCCGGGGCTCTGATCCCGGAGGCTCTGCCCCACACCACAGGGAACAACCAGGGAGGGGAAGGGGGATGCACAATCCCTTGACCTGATCCCACAGCCTGGATCACTTGTAGGTCCTCCCTCCCCTTGGGGACCTACACAGCGCCCAATATCCCTTTGGGATCTACTGCCCTGATCCATGGGGAGAGCTGTGCGTGGATCTGGGATCAGTTGGCACCTCTTTGATCCCGGGGGAGCTGTTTCCACCCTCCATCACGCACCTCACCCCTTGATCCTTGGCTGCCGTGCAGGAATCCCCCCTTTGCTGATCCCAAATCCTGTGGGATCCACTGCTCCTCACCCCATGGCTGCCCATCCCCTTGATCCCAGACACCGGGGAACTCCGGGGCCCCGATCCCAGAGGTTCTACCCCACACCACAGGGAGGGGAAGGGGGACACTTGATCCCACAACCTGGATCACTTGTAGGTCCTCCTTCCCCTTGGGGACCTACACTGCACCCCAGATCCCTGTGGGATCTACTGCCCTGATCCATGGGGAGAGCTGTGCGTGGATCTAGGATCAGTTGGGACCTCTTTGATCCTTGGGGAGCTGTTTCCCCCCTCCATCGCACACCCCACCCCTTGATCCTTGGCTGCCCTGCGGGAATCCCGCCTTCGCTGATCCCAAATCCTGTGGGATCCACTGCTCCTCACCCCATGGCTGCCCATCCCCTTCATCCCAGACACCGGGGGAGCTCCGGGGCCCCGATCCCGGAGGCTCTGCCCCATTCCGCAGGGAGGGGAAAGGGGACGCTCGATCCCTCGACCCGATCCCTCAACCCGATCCCCCTTCGCTGGATCCCGCAGCCCCGAGTGGAGATGTCTGCTGTGCCAGGACCTTCCCTCGTCCAGCGAGGACCTCGCCGATGGCTTCAAGGAGGGATCACCCCAAAAACTCCACCCCACGGAGCAGCGGGTGAGTGCAGGGGGATATGGAGGGGGATGAGGGGATGCGGTGATGGAGGAGGGATCGAGTGATCCCTTTAAATCCCCACAGAAATGTGAGTACGTGCTGCTGGAGCTGCTGTGCCACGAGCCCTGCCGGCCCCTCCACCGCCTTTCCAGCTCTCCGGTGAGTCCCGTGGGGATCCCAAAAATTTGGGGGTGGGCGGAATTTCCTCTTTTTTTTGGAGGAGGGGAGCGGATCCCTCACGCTGGGATCTCGGGGATCCCTTGGGCAGGACGGGCAGGACGCCATCGACCTGACACTCATCCGGGCCAACTTCCTTCCTTCCTTTCCTTCCCCCCTTGCTTCCTTCCTTCCTTCCTTTCCTTCCCCCCTTGCTTCCTTCCTTCCTTCCTTTCCTTCCCCCCTTGCTTCCTTCCTTCCTTCCTTTCCTTCCCCCCTTGCTTCCTTCCTTCCTTCCTTTCCTTCCCCCCTTGCTTCCTTCCTTCCTTTCCTTCCCCCCTTGCTTCCTTCCTTCCTTTCCTTCCCCCCTTGCTTCCTTCCTTCCTTTCCTTCCCCCCTTGCTTCCTTCCTTCCTTTCCTTCCCCCCTTGCTTCCTTCCTTCCTTTCCTTCCCCCCTTGCTTCCTTCCTTCCTTTCCTTCCCCCCTTGCTTCCTTCCTTCCTTTCCTTCCCCCCTTGCTTCCTTCCTTCCTTCCTTTCCTTCCCCCCTTGCTTCCTTCCTTCCTTCCTTTCCTTCCCCCCTTGCTTCCTTCCTTCCTTCCTTTCCTTCCCCCCTTGCTTCCTTCCTTCCTTCCTTTCCTTCCCCCCTTGCTTCCTTCCTTCCTTCCTTTCCTTCCCCCCTTGCTTCCTTCCTTCCTTCCTTTCCTTCCCCCCTTGCTTCCTTCCTTCCTTCCTTTCCTTCCCCCCTTGCTTCCTTCCTTCCTTCCTTTCCTTCCCCCCTTGCTTCCTTCCTTCCTTCCTTTCCTTCCCCCCTTGCTTCCTTCCTTCCTTCCTTTCCTTCCCCCCTTGCTTCCTTCCTTCCTTCCTTTCCTTCCCCCCTTGCTTCCTTCCTTCCTTCCTTTCCTTCCCCCCTTGCTTCCTTCCTTCCTTCCTTTCCTTCCCCCCTTGCTTCCTTCCTTCCTTCCTTTCCTTCCCCCCTTGCTTCCTTCCTTCCTTCCTTTCCTTCCCCCCTTGCTTCCTTCCTTCCTTCCTTTCCTTCCCCCCTTGCTTCCTTCCTTCCTTCCTTTCCTTCCCCCCTTGCTTCCTTCCTTCCTTCCTTTCCTTCCCCCCTTGCTTCCTTCCTTCCTTCCTTTCCTTCCCCCCTTGCTTCCTTCCTTCCTTCCTTTCCTTCCCCCCTTGCTTCCTTCCTTCCTTCCTTTCCTTCCCCCCTTGCTTCCTTCCTTCCTTCCTTTCCTTCCCCCCTTGCTTCCTTCCTTCCTTCCTTTCCTTCCCCCCTTGCTTCCTTCCTTCCTTCCTTTCCTTCCCCCCTTGCTTCCTTCCTTCCTTCCTTTCCTTCCCCCCTTGCTTCCTTCCTTCCTTCCTTTCCTTCCCCCCTTGCTTCCTTCCTTCCTTCCTTTCCTTCCCCCCTTGCTTCCTTCCTTCCTTCCTTTCCTTCCCCCCTTGCTTCCTTCCTTCCTTCCTTTCCTTCCCCCCTTGCTTCCTTCCTTCCTTCCTTTCCTTCCCCCCTTGCTTCCTTCCTTCCTTCCTTTCCTTCCCCCCTTGCTTCCTTCCTTCCTTCCTTTCCTTCCCCCCTTGCTTCCTTCCTTCCTTCCTTTCCTTCCCCCCTTGCTTCCTTCCTTCCTTCCTTTCCTTCCCCCCTTGCTTCCTTCCTTCCTTCCTTTCCTTCCCCCCTTGCTTCCTTCCTTCCTTCCTTTCCTTCATTGCAGAAATAAAGCCATTGTCTTGACCTCCTCCTGCCCCTTTGCCCCCCCCTCCGTGAACTTGGACTGGGAGCTACTGGGAGGGGGCGGGACTGGTCGCAGTATGGCCGTACTGGGAGTTCTGAGAGGGGGAAACTGGTCCCAGTAGGGTTGTACCCCCCTCAAGATTGGGGTGGTGCCCATGAGAAAGATGGCGGCGCCCGTGAGAAAGATGGCGGCGCCCACTGTATATATGGAGGAGGAAGTTAAGCCACTCCTCCGTCAATGGTTGGCCGGTGCTTCCAAGCTCCTCCCCCTGCGCGCGATTGGCTGGTGGGAAGGGGGAGGGAGCCGAGGCCTTCCGG